GATATGTACGTACTATTCCTTGACTTGAAAGCTTACCTGGTTTGAAGGATATGTCGCTGTGTATATTACGTTCTGTTGATCTGTTGCCAAGATATTGCTTTGTAATGTGTGGGGATCTGTTAAGTAATAACATCATAATTAAGTTATTAACAATAAATGTAGCAACTCAAAGTAAACATTCCACTCTTTACAGTGCCATCGTGTTAAATGCTACTTCAACACTGCAGAGTTTCAACCACTGCATTGTCTTTTGATATAAAATTAATCAAAAATAAACTATAAGTGTCTGTAGATAAGAATGCACCTGCTGCCATGCAATTAGAGCCAATTTTTTAATCTATAAAACAGAAATGGTGACCTTGACCCTTTGGTTCCTGAAATTCAAACTCATTCGAAGTATTCTTATACCTGCCCTTAGATTACACTTATAAGTTTGATCAAAATGTGTAAGCATTCACTAAAGCTTGAGTGATGCAATCAAAATGGTTGACATATTTGTATAGCTAATACTGGTGAGCTTGGCTTTGGAACCCCGACACACTTGGTGGCCACTTTGTTTTTACTATCAGTCTTTTAAAATGAAGCATGCATAACATGGCAAGAAAATATTTGTGGGGGAAAAAATCACTGAAAAAATCCCAATACAGATTACAGATGTAATAACACACTATTTAATAAGACATTACTTACTGAAACTGTCTTCTGAAAGATCTTCTAGTCTACCTTCCTCTGGTAGCTGTCCTGACTTGTCACCTTTAGCAGACTGGAGGATGAAAAAAACAAATAAAAAATGTAGTAAACACTGGTATATTTAGTACACACAAGATGAATATAACAAACTGAATACAAAAACGTTCTTAACACTGTATTCAATCTACCATGAAGTTAATCTGTTTTGATTGGAATCATTCTAAAATATCATTCTAGATTGATGTTACTCGAGACTCCAGGAAATAGCCAAAATCTTGGCAAGGACTTACCAAATATGATTGAATATCAAAAATGAATATCAAAAATGATTTTCAATATTGAAGATGAAATTCTTTTGACTACTGATTTATATTTCTTGTTTTCTCATAAAGTTCATGTTTAAATAGATATTATAATACAGTGACAATTAACATGGTATATTACTGTGTAAAGACCGACTTACTTCTCTGTATTTTTGAAGGTATAGTTTCAGTGGTTCAACATAACTGTCGAAACCTAAGGTTGACATTGCAAACAAAATGTCTTCTCCGTTAATTGTCTTCCTCTTTTCTTGGTGACATCTCTCACTAGCTCTTCACAATGTTAAGGATTCACTATAATATTTACAATACACGTTACTATTACACTTCCCTTACAAGAACCTACCAAAATCCTTTTTTATTCAGTGCACTGTATGAATGGCAAGTACAATGTTTTAGCAATACAGTATATACCCGGGTATATACAATAAGGCTGACTGTTACAATAAGGAATGATGCCTTACAAGACAAATAAACATTACCAGGAATTTGCAGGAACTTTATATATATATCTATATTGTCTCGAATCTCCTCACTTCTATGTCTTTGTCAAATAACTGAAGGAGTTTAAACTAAGTTCATGGTTTTTCTAAACACGCAGGAATTTAAACATTTAAACTGATCTAGATATTAAAGTCTGAGGCTCAACTTTACAAATTAAGTTGCTTAGAAATATATACAATTTTAGTTTTTAATTTAGCTATGGTATCAATAATAACACACCAGTAGTCTCAATAACAAGTCTGTTTTATCATTGATCAATAACGCAACTTAAATTATACAACTTAATTTTTATCAGTATCATAAATATAAACTGTATATGCTAATAAAGGGAGATAATAGATATTTTAGATTTAAACAAAGGATACTCGCTGGTAATGAAACTGATGAACTCTGACACACATTCCTGAACACATTCTTTGGCATCTTTTGCAATCTAAAATGAACAAGAATACTGCGTATTATTAACACCACATGTGTCTACTTAAAACTTTCAAACGAACAAATATTATTTTTCAAAAGTTAACAGGGACAGCATCAATATCAGTATATTTTATTTTATTTCACAATTCTGAATAATAGTAAACAGTTAATGGATTGTTATTTGCAAAATATGAAAATTCATGTATGTTTTCATCCAATTTGACACCAAGCAGTTTCTTTAGTTATTTACTTGCATTTTGAGAAGCAAGAGTCTGGACTAATGAGTTTAAACATTCTCTACCCCTGACTGTGTTTGGTCAGATTTTGGGATACTTACTTTACCAGACTTTGGAATTGATTTCTTCATTATTCTTGCAACATTTGCGATGGGAAGAAATCTGTCCTGTAAAAAAATAAAAATAAAATACTGTGTGTCAATAAAACTGTCAAAATGATAGCAATTCTGTGGACTGTATGATACAAGACTTATTATCAGAATTTGTGAAGTGATGAAGACAAGACATACATTGTACAACATATTTTATCAAATGCCTGAAAACATTATTATTAAGTGTAATGATGCGAACAATGTCTCGGAAGATACTATTTAATGGTCCTATACAGCTTGTGATGCAGATTTGTTATCTGACCTGTTCTCTTAGGGGTTCATTATCTCGGGGTTCGTCGTCATTTTCAACTGACTGTAATGTCTCCTCTCCATCTGTGGATGAAAGAAAATTTAAAATCTCAATTAGTTTTGATATTAGCAATAACAATAACATAAGCAAGCAGCGTATGACACAAACAGTGAACTTTGGGACACTTTAATATCAGTATCCAAAAATATCATAATCAAGTAGTAAACGTCGACACAAAGTGAACTTTGGGACAGTTTAATATCAGTATCCAAAAATATCATAATCAAGTAGTAAATGTCGACACAAAGTGAATTTTGGGACAGTTTAATATCAGTGTCCAAAAAGTTTATAATCAAGTAGTGAAGGATACAAAGTGAATTTCTCAGTGTTTGAAAAAGCGCTGTGTATATTGAAATTTCACCTGTCCATGTCAACCCCAGATGTTAGTTCCCCTCCCCCACCCCCTTCTCTTTAGCCTATCCATCATCTGGATCATTACAGAGACATGGACATTTTAACACTCCTCCTCCATCTCCTCCTTTCGAGATTATATAATTAGTTTGATCATTCACTTCAATCTTATTGTGATACCATTAAATTACAGATCGATATAGACTTAGTGAAATATGTTTACTTACTCGGAGGATATTGGATTGCCCTTTTGTTCAATAATGTTGATGTTCATGTGATAATGATGTAATATTTCTTACAAGGATACAAGAGTAGAACTTCTTTATAGCGATAATATTAAAACATGTTCATTAGTAAATAACTATTTAACCTTACTGTATACCCATACAACTGTGCGCCAATATGTGAAATGAAAGCCAAGTGTTTTACTTTACTGCATATGTGCTATAAATCACCTCAATTGAAAACTTAAACAGTCATCCATGTCGATTATGAAATGTTATAACCTACCATCCTGTAGTGGAACTGATCCTGAAAACATGGAGTCTCCAAGGCTATCCACAGCACTGTCTCCTGAGTTACCATCCATTGTAGCTCACCTAGAAGGAAAAAGAAAATGGAGGTAGAAATTTAAGTGAGTGTTGAAAATTGCAGAACTGAACTGCATCATTCACCTACGACCAGGTAGCTTGATTTGTTTCAGAGCAACTGTCTAGAGTTTGGAGGGTCCCAGGTTCAAATTTCGGTCTTGGCATGCCTTTTCCTTTTCCTATGGCAGTGGTGCCTGTGACCAAACCCTGTTTCAAGTACTGGGCGAATGCTAGGGAGTTAAAGTCTTAGAAAACAGAGGGAGGAATGTAGCAGAACTGGGCTGAGTTGACACTCAGCACCCAGGTAGCTAATAATAAGCTCAATTGGTTAGAGCGCCTATCTCAAGTTCGGATGGTCCAGGGTTTTAATCCTGGTCTAGTCATGCATTTTCCCATTCCTGTTACACTAACAAACCTAC